ACACCCGTTCGTCTGCGCAAACCACAATCGTGTTGACGGGGTTGTTGTGCTGGAGCGTGCGCTTGGGGGTCTCGGCGGCCTCCACACGTGCCTGCCGGGGTTGGCGAGCGACCTGAACCCAAACGGCCGTCGGCGGCGGTGGGTCGATGGTGAGTCCGCCATCCCCGTTCACGCATCCCGACAGATGTGCTTGCTCTTGATGGTTGTTGGTGCTGGGGAGTGGGGGAGGAAACGACGCCACGGTAGACGACGGGCAAATGGCTGGGCGTGGATGTGGAGGCGTAGTGGCAACGGAGCATGTCAGCTGTCCGCACTTGTCGACATAGATGAGAGGAGAGATGGTAGCCTGTTGGACATGCGAGAAGACGGGTGAGTGGTGGATGAGGAGCACGACAAGTCCACACGGGGAACTCAGGTGAACCGCAAACAAGGGTGCAAACAAGGGCGCAAACGCACGCAAACGCGCACACATGTGAGCACACACACACACACATGAACGCACGGCCGATGGAGGTGTTTGTGTCGTTGGCGAGAGCGAGCCAGGTGCAGGTGACGGTGGTGGCGGCGGTGGTGCCGATGCGTTTCAGCTCTTCGTTCGATTGAGACAGCTGCCGTACACCCGGTGCAATGCAGAAGGAATGGTTGCGGTGGTGTTGGTAGTGTTGGTGGTGGTGTGAAAAGGGTGAGAGGCGCTCTTCATGGAAGGACATTATGTTATCCAACACACCTTCCTCAACGCACACACAAACACACACACACACAAACACACACACACACACACACACACACACACACACACACACACACACACACACACACACGCACACACACACACACACACACACACACACACACACACACACACACACACCATCTTCCTATGAGGTCTGCGGCAGCGGTGCGCTTGCGGTCAGACATGAGCGTGGTCAGGACACAGAAGAGCTGCAGAATGTGGATGAAGTGCAGGGTGCTCAGGCAGTCCAGGGTGCCCTTCAACATGAGCGCAATCGGGTGCAGCAACTTCGGGTGGTCTGTGGCCAGCGACAGTAGCAGCACAGGCATGGCTGCGTCCACCTCCTGTGCCTGCCCCGTGCCAATGTGCGCCACCAGCGCCCCAACCACCTCCGGCCGTGCACGCGAGGTGGCGGCACGCGGCCCCCTGCCGCCAGTTCAGGATGTCGGCCATGTGCACAATCGACTTGAAGCACATCAAGAACGCGCGCGTGTGTCTGGCAAACATGGCTGCAGCCATGACGGCGGTGAGCCGGCCCGTGCTTGCAAGCTTGATCACGGTGGTCTCTGCGCTGCGGCGGTGGGCGTTCTGGTGCTTGTTGAAGCAGCAGCAGCACAAGCAGGTCGAGGGCGGTGATTGGCTGGGCCGTGGTCGTCTTGATTGCCGCAGCCACGCCTATGCAATGCGCGCATCAAATGCCAGCCCGTTCTTGATTGTAGCCACCACAGACAAACACATCGTGATCATCGCCCCGTTGTTGGTGTTGCATGTTCGCTGTCAGCGCATTCACATCATCCATTCCATCCGCTGAACATCAACGTACATGTGTGTGTGTGTGTGTGCGAAGGCATGTGAGGGAGCGGCTGTGAGAGAACAAGCCACAGCCACACGTGCAGGCAGGCACATGTGAGATCACCGTCATACACCGTTGCACACTCTGGCATCATCTCCCACTCCTCGCCGCCCTCAACAGTACCGCCACCACCTTGCTGCATGAGAAAGTTGATGACGATTGGGAGGCATTCTGGGCTGTACGATCCAAGCTGGCGCAACACGTGGTCGCAGATCTCGCGCAGGCGTGCCGGCGCCACACTGCACAGCAAGGGTGTGGATGAGGGTGGTCGTGGTGTGTGTGTTGGGGGGGGGGAGGGTAGATGGGCCATCACCATCACCGACGTGCGTGTACAAGGAAGGCGTTGTTGCGCAGGGGATCGTCAAGATCAGCGGTCGCTGCAGGCCCATCCACCAGCTCTTCAACTTCAACGTAGGTGCAGAGGATCGTGTGTGTGTGTGTGTGTGTAGGTGCAGAGGATCGTGTGTGTGTGTGTGTGTGTGTGTGTGTGTGTGTGTGTGTGTGTGTGTGTGTGTGTGTGTGTGTGTGTGTGTGTGTGTGTGTGTGTGTGTGTGTGTGCAACAAGTTGATTGATGAGATTTCAACTCGACTGTATGCACACTCACCTACTATCTTGTTCCATACACACGAACCCCCCTCGACATACAATCACACACACACACACAACCTGTTGACAGCAAGTGTGTGCTGTACGAGAAGCCGCTGCTGCAGAGCGGGACGATGGGCACGGGCGCCAACGTCGACGTCATTGTGCCGCACACCATCAACTCATACAGCGACGGCGGCGACGCAGAAGCAGGTATGTGTGCTGTGTACACGTGCGTGTGTGCATTTGAGAAGCTTACACGGTCGTTTGCATCCTATCCAGCCCCATCGTCTCACCGCCACTCAACATCTTCTTTCGCCCTCTTCTTTTCCTGTTCTCAGGTGGCGGCATTCCCTTGTGCACGCTGCGCAACTTCCCGCAGCTCATTGACCACTGCATCGAGTGGGCGCGGGCCAAGTTCACGGACCTGTTTGTGAGCCCTGCGTCGCAGCTGCAGCAGTTCCTGGAGGACCCTGAGGGCTTCATCTCGGGGCTGGAGACGAAGATTGAGCAGCACGTGGGTGGCGAGCGGATTGGCGCCCTCGAACGCGGCGTGGACATGCTCAAGGCCATCAAAGACCTCGCCGCAGAGGTGCTGGTGTTGTTGTTGTTGGTGAAGGTGGTGGTAGTGTGTGGTACATAATTGTGTGGTAATTGTGTGATGGAGGTTGTGGAGGTTGTGATGACACGCCCTTTCCTGCTTTTGAGGGTTCACGCCACCACCACCACCACTACAGCTGGCGCGTGCTATGTTATGCCTCAGCTGCAAGAGAAGCCGACGATGGAGACCTGTGTGTCGCTGGCGTGGCGTGACTTTCACGCGTTTTTCCGCCACGTCATTCTGGACCTCATTGCCACCTTCCTCGCAGAGGCAAAGACCAAGAGTGGAGAGCCCTTTTGGTCAGGTGAGGACTCGTGTGTGTGTGTGCGTGCGTGTGTGTGTCTGTGTTTGTGTGTGTGTGTGTGTGTGTGTGTGTGTGTGTGTTCACTCTGGCAGCACCACCCACACCGCAACTGATCGCGTGTTTGCCTCGTTCCATTGTTCCTCGCCTTTCGTGTGTTGTGCCCATATAGGCCACAAGATCTTCCCCGAGGTGCTCGAGTTTGATCCGCAGAATCCGTTGCACAACGAGTTTCTGATTGCCGCCGCCAACATCTACGCATGCGTCTTCAAGGTGGCTGGCTGTGGGGTGCCTTGTTTGCTTTGGGGTTAGGTGGTGGTGGCGGTTGCTTGGGGTCGGGTGGTGGCGGTTGTGTGCAGTCGTGTTATGCTGACGCCATTGCCTCATCTGCGATGATGTTCAGGTGCACCCGACCAAGTACCCGAGCGAGGAGAACAAGCTCCACATCAAGCGGTGAGCCGTGATGTGTGTGTGTGTGTGTGTGCGACACGTACATCCTTAAGCTGCTGCTCTTCCCACTGCAACAGTTGTTCCTTTCTCTTCTGTTGGTGCTTTGACCTGTCTTTCGTGTTCCGTTCACGTTGCGTGCGTTGGCTCAGTTCTTTTGGCTCACACCATCGAGCACATTCAACACAGCCACTCATCCATCCAACAACACTTCCCTCTCAACACAAACCACGAATATACATCGCACATCCATTTCAGCACCAGTCTTCCCAGGACATCAAGAACATCAAGCAGCCAAGCAGACACGCACTCCCACTCTCGTCTCTCTGAGGCCTCCTGGCAGCTGTCCTTCTGCGGCGGCTACTCCTACGTCAACACCAGTCCCGATGGCCGCCTGCTGGTGGCTGAGTCGTTTGTGTGGGTCGTTTATGTGGGACATGCACAGGCTGACATGCAAGCAGCGCATACCCGTCACAGCAACCGACATGGTGCATCTGCCCCTCTTAGCCTCTTATTCCCGCGTGTACATCTGCGGCCTCGGTGTCCGGGAGGCTGAACGCACCATCATCTTCGAGGATCCTTTCCTTGGCGCTGAGCTTGCATGCGCAGCCGCGTCCGGTGGCGTCATCGAGAGGTGGCAGAAGGAGCCATACGAGTGCAAGCTGCACCGCGTCCTAGACCTCAAGTGCCTGGCGGTCGTGCCGTCCACCTTCGAGCACACGCGCTGCATGGCAGTCACGCCCACCCTGTACATCGCGGGCAACAAGGCGGGTGTCATCTCTTTGTGGCAGCTTGGTCAGCCATCGACCTTGCTTGCAGAGTGGAGGGCTGATGCTGTCGATAATGACAAAGAGGTGGTGCAAGACATGGATGAAGAAGAAGCGAGCGGGGAAGTGGAGGCGGAAACGGCAAGCAAGGAGCGCGTGCGTACTGCCGTGGATGCCTTGCTCACCCCTGATGGCCGCTTCCTGGTGACTGCGTCTACCTCCACCGACTTGCGCGTGTGGGATCTCAGCACCCTCACATCACACGATCAGCACAACACAACATGAAAGGACAGCAACAATGGCTCCAACAACAGCAGCAGAAGCAGCAGCGGCAACAACAACGACATGCGCCCGTTTGTGTTGGTCGTGCGGCGTTGGCAGAACCCAAAGAGGTCACGGGCGTCCGTGTCCCGCATATCACAGCGTTTGCGGACAGCAGCAACAAGCTTGCTAGCGCGTGTGGAAACACAGTGCACGTCTGTGCCATTGATCACCACCACCACCATCACCAGCAACAACGGCAGCATGACCAGCAGCAGCAGCAACAACAGCAGCAGGAGCGGCAGCAGTAGTGGTGTGAGCGGGCGCTGACGCGTGCGGCGGTGTTGGATGACTTGTTTGTGAACGAGGCTGATCTGCACGCCAACATGACCGCCACCACCATGGCCACGCACCCAACTGATGACAGCCTGCTGGCGATTGACACTGCGCGAGGTGACGTGTTTGTGTGTGACGTCGCCGACCACAAGGTCCTCAGCAAGCTCAAAGTGAGCAGAAACGTTCCGGTCAAGTTCGGCGTCTTTGCCCGTCGCAGCAGCATCTTGTTCGTCAACTCTGTTGAGAGCGTGATCAAGTGCGACTACAGCACACCACGATACTGCATCGCAATGACAGAGCAGATGACATGGCCATGTGCGATCACCATCGCCTGCTTACTGTTTCAAGCAGCGTTTCGCAAGGCAGGGTTGCCCTGTGGGCGCTGGACCTGACCCTAAACCGCACCATGATCCCCCACATATGAGATTGAACTGTGCCATCTCCGCCCAACAACAGACCCCAGATGCCGCCCCTACGTCATGTGCCCATTGTTGTTCCACCAGCAACACCTCCCGCAGATACGCAAATGCTTGACGACTACGATGTCACTGCGTTGCCGAACGTACCTGACATCATCTGCCAAGCATCTTGACATGGCAAAGAAGATGATGGAGGCTGCAGTGTTGTCTTCTTTTGTCTTGGACTGCTTAATCCATCTGGCATAATCGCGGTGGTGCTGGACGCATTCTGCTTCATCACACAGGCCATCCGCGAGACACGGTGCAGATGACAACAGCACCACCAGGTGACAAGGATGGCAACCAAGTGCAGCTGATACTGGAGGGACTTGCTTGAAGGACTGGTGCGAGGCGTTCAAGTACAGCAGCAGCAACAACAACAACACCGTGGAGCGTGGACTGACCTGCTTCGTGTGTCTTTTTTGCCCTGCAGCGCCCTGACACGCAGTGGTGGCTGGTGAATGACTGCGCCCTTGTTGTTGTTGTTGGTGCAGGCCACCTTGCACTTGGCTGTTTGGCTGCACTGCAAGTGGCACCATGCCATGTGGCTGTTATCTTGAGCAGTGTTGTGCTCTGTTTCTGCTTTCCTCTCTTGCTTGGATGTGCGTGTTGGTGCTGACTGTGTGCCCCGCGTGAGGGCTGTTGTCGTCTCTTCATGTCTTGGCTCTGTCCCCAATGTACTGTTGGGAAACGATTGAACATGCAAGATGGAATCACCGCAACACGGCAGCCAGCAACCGAACACACAATACTGAACAAAGAAGAGTGGCAGAGCAGAGAGACAGCAATAAGCAAGGAAGGAAGGAAGGAAATTGAGTATGCACGGCGTGCATGTGAACAAACAGCCAACGCAATGGCAACAACAGTGACACATCATCAAACACCGCATGACACACTGCAACGCTGCTCTGTCGATGGTCGACCTGCAGGAAGAAAGAGATGCACGCGTGCACCAGCCACGACGCGGTGGCTCTTCAGATGGGAAGTGATTTGATTGGCAGCCGTCTCGCCATCGCCGTCATCGATGTGCGCACATGCAATTGCACAGCCAACCACAAAGGGAGGGTGACTGCGTGCCGTGCAACCCCACATACATCCATCTTCTTCTTAATTGCTGTTGTCGCTCATCGCAACAACTGCTGTTGTCAGCGGTGGCACCAACAACAGCCAGCACATGGGTGCCCACCAGAATCACGATGGCCACCTCCTTGCTGTTGCTGGAACTCGTGAGGAATGCAAACACCACCACCACCACCACCACCACCACCACCACCACTACCACATCAGCTGTCGCTGCTGTTGCCATGGCGTGCACTCCCACCACAACCATCAACACTGCTGGCGTCTCCTCCAACAACGCCGTGGTGGTCCAAGAGTCAACTGCATCCGATGCCTTGAGCTCGTTGCTGTCGTTGTTAGTGGTGGTGGTGGCGGCAGTGCTGGGATGATGATGCTGATGTGGGAGGTGAAGGTGGCAAGTACTGACAGCACTCGATCACAGCGTGTGCAACGATGATGGATGCTGTTGCTGTCCTGGTGGGGGAATGCGGCGTCCACGTGAAATTGCAAGCGTGCGTGCGTGTGAGGCCCCCAGCAGTTGCTGTGCGATGGGTCGGATCGCGTGTGCACCCGTGCAACCAAAGGGACGAGTCGTCCAGGACACGTCGGCCTCGCACGGCGATGCGGTGGAGCCCATGACGGTGACGTCGCCAGAGACGGATCGGTTGAAGAGGCGAGCCGTAAAGTCCTCGTTGAGGGAAGCGACGGTGGCGATGATGGACCCCTGGCGCAGGTTGATGCGCAGAATGAATCTGCGATGCGTCCTGCGTCGTGGTTGATGGACTGCACCAGCGCGGGCTCAAACGCCCCGCGGCGCGACTGCCTGCCGGCAAGGACGTTGAACTTGGCGTCAAAGACGAGCGAGACAGAGTACGCGGGCACGCACGCACGGTGGGAGCCCCTCAAACTGCGTCGCTGGTGTTGGCGCAGAGGCGGTCCGTCGTGGCCGTGGCCGCCGACACCTCATACTCCGTGTCCTCGCGCGAGCGCACGCGCTGGCACTCGCGGTCGTTGACCAGCGACGCCGAAACGAGCTCGTACATTGTTGAACAGGCACTGCGTCCACGGCGAGCAGATGCCTGTGGTTCTCTGTCGTGGGCGTGAGCGGGCACGAGATGAACGTGCTGTTGTTGGGGCACGTGCGGCCCATCTGGCACTCGCGGTCTGTGCTGGTGGTGGGCGCGGCCGTCTCAAACAAGCCAGGCTCGCAGGGCGACACACGCGCGTGGAGAAGTCCGTGTTGCTGTCGCGGTAGAACAGGCCCTCGATGCAGCGGTGGCACTGGCGGTCGGTGAAGATGGTGGGGCGCATAGCAGGGCGCACCATCTCCTCGTAGCCGAGGTCGCACTCCGCCACAGTAGTGCAATCGCGCTGGGCCAGAGAGCGCGGCAAAGTCAAGGCCAACCTGGCACGGCGTGCACGGCGTGTGCTGGCGTTGCGGTCCAGGTCGGCGGTGCCGGCTGGGCACAGGAACTGCTCACAGGAGCCGGGGTAGCCTGCAGGCACATAGTGGCCATAGGGGCACGGCTGGCAGGCGCTGAGCGGGTTGCGGTCGTGGTCGGTGGTGCCGATGGGGCACGGCTCGCACTTGGCGTCGGAGGTGGGGGTGAATGCGCGCATGCGCTGTTTGCCAGGGTCGCACTTGGTGATGAGGTGGCACAGGCGGTGCGCTCGCACTCCGTCGACGGGTTGCACTGGGTCAGGTCGCGGCAGATGCGGTCCGTGGTCGGCGTGGCAGGGAACAGCTCAAACTGGTCCTGGTCGCACACGTCGAGCGTCGTGCACTCTGTGTCGTTGGTGGCGGTGCATGGCGCGCTGGTACTGCTCGTCAGAGCACGTGCTGCACTGCTGGCAAGACACGTCGTTCTCCGAGTCGCAGGCGTGCAGGATGTATGTATTTGGCGGGCACGCGGAGCAGCCGGCGCACTGCACGTGCTCCAGCGCGGAGCAGGCGCGAATCTCGAAACGACCACTGGGACACTCGGAGCACTCCGTGCACTCGCGGTCAGAGTCGAGCGTGGGCGCCTGACTCTGGAAGGTGCCAAACTCGCACTTGCTCACGGCCATGCGTGGAAATGTACTCTGAGACCGTGCAACGCGACACGGCACGCACGTGTCCTGGACGCACTTACGGCAGAGGCGGTCGCGCTGGCGCGTGGGTTCACAAAGCGAATCTCTTCCTCATCCGGACCGCACTGCGTGACAGGGCGGCACGACTCGGCCTGGCCGTCGACGGGCTTGAAGGTGGCGCCAAGCTCGCACTGGCTGCACACGCGGTCGCTCGTTGGGGTGGGCTCGGCCGTCTCCTCTTCGCCGGCGTCGTACGTGGTGGTGACGGGGAGACAGGGCACGCCCTGGCCAGAGACAGCCTTGTACTTGCGCTCCGGGCACTCGTCGCAGATGCGGTCGCTGATGAGGAGGGTCATGGCCTGCATCTCCTCAAACCCCGAGCGCGCACTCTGTGACGTCCTTGCACGTGGTCTGGCGGGGTCGCTATCGTGATGGTGATGAGTGCCTGCGCAGCAGGTGAAACTGGAGCAGGAGTCGTGGGAGCCTGCCTCCGTGTAGTGAGTGGTTGGGCACAATTGGCCGGCAACCCGTGGAGCCGTCACTGTCCGAATCGATGGTGCCGGCCGAGCAGTCGCGGCACACGCGGTCCGAGGAGCGGGTTGGCGCGGAGACCTCCTCCTGGCCGCACTCGCACTCCTCAATGGGCTCGCATTTGCTGCCGCCAATGGATGGGGAGAACTCCGTCACGCCGTCGCACGGCCGACAGTCGGCCGAGTCGGCGTCGTAGACGAGGATAAAGCCAGCGCTGCACTCGCACGTGTCTGTGCAGCCTGGGCAGGAGCGGCGTGCCTCGTAGGCGTCCATCTGGCAAATGGTGTCGCAGATGCCATCCTCGCCCTGGCCGGAGCAGCACACGTCAAGCACCACGTCGAGCTGCTCGTCCGTGGGGTCAGCGCACACCATCTCCTCAAACAACTGCGTGACGAGCTTGTTGCATGTAAGCGTGTCGCAGGAGCACAGGCGGTCCGTGGTGAGCGTGGGCAGGATGGTCTCGATGAAGGGCTCCTCGCACACGCTGGTGGGGAAGCACGAGGCGCGGTCCGGCAGCGGCTGGTACTCCATGCCAAAGGGTGCAGCTCACGCACGCACGATCATGCACGGCGTTGCCAGAGACTGACTCCTTCTGACCCGGCTTGCACTCGGTCCAGGGAGAGCAGACGACGTCGAAGGACGCGGAGCATGAGGTAGAGGCCCAAGTGCACATGCCGCACGTGGTGCATGGCACGCAGCGGTGGTCCTTGGCGTAGAAGTAATCGAGAGGGCAATGGGCAATGCACGACTGGTGAGATTGCTGTCGCAGAGGAGGCAGTCGGTGGCGCCCGGTGGGGTAGCACTTGGCACACGCGTGGAATGGCATTCGGCACACCCGTTGGCCGAGCTCATGCCCGCCATCGGGGCACTCGCTGATGCAGCGGTCGTGATTGGAGGGGAGGCTTGGGTCCAA